GGGGGGGTTCAGGGGGGCATGCCCCCCTGAATTTTACCATAATATTTTGATCAATGATGTATTCCCTGTTCTTTGTGTTGCCTATTTGGTCATCAAGACTTCTGGATTTCTTCAAATGGATCGTGGACTTTAACGAACGGAACTACAAGATCACCCACTACAGTACAGTATAAACAGCCTTTTCAACTTCACAACATTTCAAGTAGGCTGTACCATACACTAATAATAATAATAAGGAAGTGGCTATCCTCACCCAGGGTGAGAATAAAAATACGATCTACCTCTCACCCCGAGTGAGACTTGCCAGCATAGAGGCTATTCTCACCCGGTGTGAAACAAGACCTGTTTTTCCTCATTTCGGAATACTGTCTATCGGTGTGGATGATTAAATTGATAAAAGCCAAGAAAAAATTACGTTATAGCACAAAAGTAAGCTAATTTGATCGTCTTCAAAGATGCTATGGCTATTTCACTTTTCGAATCGAGCCGAAGTACACGGGTCATCATTTTGTTTTGCCCGGCAGTTCTTGCAAGATCTACTCCTCCCCTCTCTCTCTCTCTTTCTCAATACTGTCTATCGGTGTGGACGATCAAATTGACCAAAACAAAGTTAAAAAATGATGTTAAAAAGCAAAACAAAATGAATTTGGTCGTCTACAAAGATGCTACGGCACTTTCCGAATCGAGCCGAACTACGGGGTCGTCATTTTGTTTTGCCCGGAAGTTCTCGCGCTACACCTCTCTCTCCCTCTTTCTCTCTCTCCACTGCCCACAGACAAAATTGCACGCTTTTACGCTAACACTAACAGTAGTAATAGATCTAGAACGTTTGTTCACAGCACAGAATTCTATAATTCTGTTATCACAGTGTAGAATTCTGTGGTTCAGGGTGAACGCTTCACTGGTTGGCCTAGGCTATAACGATGAGGCCACCTCTATTCTCACCAGGGATGAGAATAGTGCAGGCGAGTCTTTTGGCTATTCTCACCCGGTGCGCGTTCACCATTATAGCCTAGATCTAGGCCAACAAATTTTGCGTTCACCCTAAACCACATAATTCTACACTGTGATAACAGAAAAATTGTAGTATTCTGTGCCGTGAACAAACGTTCCATTACAACTGTAGTCTACTAAAAGCGTACAATTTTGTCTGTGGGCAGTGGAGAGAGAGAGAGAGAGAGAGAGAGAGAGAGAGAGAGAGAGAGAGGGGAGAAGTAGATCTTGCGAGAACTTCCGGGCAAAACAAAAAGGCGACCCCATAGCATTTGAAGACGATCAAATTAGCTTACTCTTGTGCTATAACGTAATTTTTTCTTGGCTTTTATCAATTTGATCATCCACACCGATAGACAGTATTCTAATATGAGGAAAAGCAGGTCTTGTTTCGCACCGGGTGAGAATAGCCTACACTGGCAAGTCTCATCCGGGGTGAGAGGTAGATCGTTTTTCTATTCTCACCCCGGATGAGAATAGCCACTTCCTAACGATGAACGCCCACCGGGTGAGAATAGCCAAAAGACTCGCCTGCGCTATTCTCAGGTGGCAATAATAATAATAAGGTGGATAACAAGAACCTTTTCCCAATGGCCACCTCTATTCTCACCCAGAGTGAGAATAGTGCAGGCGAGTCTTGTGGCTATTCTCACCCGGTGCGCGTTCACCAAATTTTGAGTTCACCCTAAACCACAGAATTCTACACTGTGATAACAGAAAAATTGTAGAATTCTGTGCCGTGAACAAACTTTCCATTACAACTGTAGCCTACTATAGTACTAAAAGCGTACAATTTTGTCTGTGGGCAGTGGAGAGAGAGAGAGAAAGAGAGAGAGGAGTAGCGCGAGAATTTCCGGGCAAAACAAAATGGCGACCCGCGTAGTTCGGCTCAATTCGAAAAGTTAAACAGCCGTAGCATCTTTGTAGACAACCAAATTAATTTACTTTTGTGTTTTAACATCATATTTTAACTTTGTTTTGGTCAATTTGATCGTCCACACCGATAGACAGTATTCAGAAAGAGACACAGAGAGAAAGAAGAGGGGAGGAGTTGATCTTGCGAGAACTTCCAGGCGGGTGAGAATAGCCACTTTCTTTCCCAATATAGTCTTAAACTTGACTATCCTGCTGTATTGTTAGTATAAACATTTAAAGTTATACCGTTATGTTTAATAATCTACTAGATCTAGATCTAGTCTAGCAGTAGCAGATCAGGTGCTTTTTCTGTAGTTCCCACCCCCCTTATTTGAGCCTGACCTACATCTAGATTCTAGATCTATACGTTTGATTCGTGGCAAGCTAAGAACTAAGATATCAAACCTAACAACTGCAAAACATTAAATATTGTGGTAAAATTCAGGGGGGCATGCCCCCCTGAAACCCCCACCATATTTTTATTAGGTCAGGGGCAAGCCCCCCCTGAAACCCCCCTACTCTTGGGGCCAAAACTGGCGATTAACAATTGCGGGGTGGGAACTACCGAAAAAGCGCCGCAGATCAAGATATCATGAAAGCAGCGCAAAGGAAAAAGAAGTGATATTATTTTTAGATTAGAGGGAGAGTAGTCAGAGAAGAGGGGGCGTGTATCACACAAAACCGATACGGTTTTATAATTAAAAACACCTTACAACTGGTAGTGCAGCGGATTTGAACAGGATTGTCATAATCATAAAGACCATTTGACACCACACAATCAAAGATAACAAAATCTAAAAGAGAACCTTAGCATATTCCCCGGCGAGCTTTTGATATTTCCCAGCAGGATCAGCCATAGCTGCCATTAGCCGGAAGTTTAGGTGCTTCTGGAGGGAGTACTCATTGTAGGCCTAGGCTTAAGCTATGAATGAAACAGAATGTTCACAGTTCACAGTTAACAAGCCTAGATCTAGGCCACAGAATTGTGATCTAGGTCTACCTGTCTTCCGCTTTTGTGTAACCCTCTTTTTATAAATTACAGTAAATAGCTGGTGGTAGGCTACGAATGTCTGCCTCTATTCTCACTTTCTAAAGCTAATTTATGACAATCCTACCTGTCTTTTCTTTTTTCTTTATTGTTTGTCTGTTTGTTTTTGGCAGGCATTCATTATAAGCCATTCTTTCCCTTTCCCTTCTTCACAACTCAATAATAAGCATTGAGAGTGGCGAAATTGACCCTGCAATGAGAGTGAGCTGTTTGTCCAGTCCAATACGATTGCATTTAACTCCTGGCAACGCCACTGTCATTACTATTACACTGTAGTCCCATTGCACATTCATCACCATAACAAAACTAAACTACTGATAATCCCAGCCACTCTCGTCTTTAGTTTTAGTAGAGGTTTTACGGCACTCGCAACTGCATAAGGTCATATTATGAATATGAGCGCCAAGGGGTGGATGTCAACAGAGAATTCGAAGTCCTTACAGGGAATCAGACTTACTCTGCTCACCTTTCTAGCTTCAATAGCACTTCTTCTTCTTCTTCTTCTTCTTCTTCTTCTTCTTCTTCTTCTTCTCCTTCTCCTCCTCCTTCTCCTTCTTCTTCTTCTTCTTCTTCTTCTTCTTCTTCTTCTTCTTCTTCTTCTTCTTCTTCTTCTTCTTCTTCTTCTTCTTCTTCTTCTTCTTCT